CATTTTATGGAGGACTGTTTCCTGATCCTGGTAGAGTAGACTACAATGCCGGCTGTTCTGACTCACAGACTGTAAGTACGTTTTCATTTAAAGGATTTGCCACTGACGGTTCAAATGCGAGTTTTGAGCAGTGTGGAGTAGTGCTTGTTGTTTGTCATTTCTCCGATCACAAATGCAGACATGGTTTTATGTTTATGCGGCGCGATGCAATGCAACGCGTAAAAAGACAGTATAAGTCATTATAATCCATAATTATGTCCCCACTGGATGCAACAAATGCCTCGTTTGTAATGGGTTTTAATGTTTTTGTCTCGTCGCTCCGGCCAGACAGGGCATCAACAGTATGTGAGGGGCGTAACATTTCCGTCACACGCTTGAGGTATTCGGCCAATCACAACGCACTGGATAGCTGGCCAATCAGAGCACACCTCGCTTTTCAGATCGATGAGCTTTGTAAAAATCGACGCGTTTCAGAAAGGCAGGGCATAGAGGAGAAACAATAATGTACAGTATGTGGAAAATAATGTGTTTTTTGAACCTTAAACCGCATAAACACATTTCATTACACCAAATACACAAAATAATGTTATTTTTAGCAGCATCATATGACCCCTTTAAGAAGGCCGCAGGTTAGCAGAACAAGAGTGTTGCTCAAAACTCCCTGGTGCATCACTGGTCAACTGCCTGACTAAATTACTGTCCTTATTATTGTCAAAGCTCTTTCAAAAAATTCTTTGCTCATGCACCCACATTTCCTGACACTGGCCTCACATCTCACTTCAGAAGCTGACCTTTGACCACCAAACCTTTTGCTGAGTTATTCTGGCGCTCATGGTTTGACGTGCCAAAACAAATAAGAAATAAGGATGTCTTCTACACCTGTCCCCACTTTACAAGAAGAACTGCTGATTCATAAATTTCCCGCGGTTGTCAGACACATTCATCAACGCTAGGTCTTCTTTACTTGTGTAGTTTCGGTGTGTGAAAATCGGAGGTTCTGTGGTTCATGTTCATTGTTTGCACCTCACAGTTGCAGCGCAATCAATATGTGCGTTCATTATGAAACTGTGCAACAAAGATACTATCAGAATTCATTCATAGCTTGCATACATTGCATTGGAGAAGCGACATGCTTTTAATGGGTAGGCTGTTGGTTTGCTTCCCTACCTCAACCTGATGTCAGGATTTCCTGTCACAGAGTGCAGCGCAAACAAGCCATTTCCCACAAACTATGCTATCTCTTCTGTTTGCTTACTCATAATCATAACACTTGTGCTTTTAACACATTGCTGTGCTTTCACAACAGGGATGGATTAGAATGGAGAACGCAATTTACTGAAATGACTCTCTGCCAAGCACCTCTGGGGTTTCAGTATGCATTGTTGGCTCTGTGGACTTTTAGAAAATAAACTTTCATACTTGTGCTAGTTTATTTAAGTTGTCCTCTGACGATGTCCAACAGCAGACATTCACGCATCACGTACTTTTGGCAACATTTCCAATGTCACATCAATATGTATCATCTATTGACACAGAGGGATGTAACCTGTGTAAAAAAGATTTTTTTAAATATAATTAAAATATAATAATTAAAATATAATAAAAATGAAAAAGGTAAGTTTAATAAAAAATAAATATGGTTCAGTAAAATTTACTGTGAGTGATATAACCTGTGTAAAAATAATTTACACAAAATAAATATTGAAATAATTTTTTCGTAGATGACCATAATTTTAATATTTTTTTCTTAAATTATTATTTTTAAGTTATATATATATATATATTAACAATAGTATCTTATAATGCATAAAGACGACTTAAATACAGTGGAAATAAATGGTAAAAAAAAATCTGTGTAAAGATGGATTTACACAAAATAAATATTGAAATAAATGAAATAGATTAGTGAAATTTTATTTATTATTTTATTTCAAAAAATAATATTTTATGATGTTTTTTTTCATATTGTAACACTGAACGTCTGGGTCTGGGACAAGATAATAAAATCTATGCATAAAAAAGACAATGAAAATAAAATGGAAATAAATTTAAAAGAAAATAAATGGAGAATAATTTAATATAGAACATTTAATATATATATTGATGTATATTAAATTGACCTAATTGTCCCTATAAGTGGACATCATAAAGGTGTTGCTGTGTCCAAAAAAAGTGCTTCTAGATTCCCATGCTCAAAATCTGAATAAATCAAGTAATTACTCAGTAAATTACAACGGAAAACCAGGTTTCCTGAACCAATCCCACAACAAACAGACTGTGGCTCACAGAAGACTTTGTTCCACGATCAGAAAAAGGAAGCAGCACACTCCACAGTTCAAATGAGCAGTGCAATATCGACGTGGGAGTACAGCAACCTTCAAAACAGCCATAGAGGGCATGATCAATATTTAATCAGCTACTACAGAGATACTTCTCTGTGATTCCTTAAGTCGGTTAACACCTGTATTGATCCACCGCTGGAGGCTTTCCTCCGGCCTCATATTAAAGAATCGTTAATCTTAAACTGCTTTTTGTGCTGGTGGTCTACCACTATATAATGGATGTTCTGGCAAGGAGAACCAGTTTGGTCTTGACTAAACTGTAGTTTGCACAGTTGACAGCGTATGAAATTCCTGTAAAGGGAAATATGTAAATCAAAGCAATACATAGTAAAAAAAAATAATAATAATAATTTAAACAGGTAGATTCCTCTTGCGTGATACCAGGGCATTTCTAGTTCACTCAAATTGATTTTTAGCCCATTTTACTGTCCACCAGGTGAAAAAAAAAAAAATCTCAAGTTAAAATGCTTTTAAAGGAATAGTTCACCAAATAATGACAATTTGCAGAAAATATTAATGCATAAAAGACTTGTATTTTTAGCTGGAAGCAATGATTTGATGTTAAAACTGACTTGATGGATTTGTTTCTTAATTGCTGGACTAGAGTGGTGTGGATTACTTGTGGATTATTGTGATGTTTTTATCAGCTGTTTGGACTCTGACGGCACCCATTCACTGCAGAGCATCCATTGCTGAGCAAGTGATGCTATGCTAACATAATAGCATGCATAACAGAAAATAATATAGACAACTGTGAATAATACTGTGCTTTATAAAAGTGGATATACAAAATTTTACAATGACAACTCATTTACAAGTTTAAAAAAACATACAAAAATAACTATATACATTCCTGTATTCCAACAAAATCTTTGGCAATATACTTGTCAATGCAATATATACAAAATGTTGATTCTCCATTGTTATACCTTTAGATATAATATCTTTAGATATATACCCCCGGTTTCACAGACGAGGCTTAAGCCTAGTCCTAGACTAAAATGTAAATCTAAGCTGTTTCAACTGAAAGAAACTTGCACTGACTGATCTTAAAACATGTCAGTGCCTTTGTTTTGTCTTAAGATGCACACCAGAAATGCTTTTTTCTAAGACATGTTTATAAAAATTACTTAAATGTCCTAATTGAACTATGACTTAATCCTGGTTTAGGCTAAGCCCCGTCTATGAAACCGGGCCATAATATCTAAAAGTGTTGGACAACCTGTGCTGTAACAGAAGGCTCTACTTATTTTTCATTCATCTCATGTAATCCCACAAAACTCATTCACCAAGTCTATAAAGGATATGACAAAATATAAACAGTGAAACACCTTATAAATTTGCAAGGGAGGTAGAGAAAATAACAACCACTGGGTGGCGCTAGCTTAATATCTCTATATAGAAATCGAAATATCATTAATTTAGTCTCAACCAGGGAGGTGTAAAAACTTTTTAAGTGTCAAATGTCAAAGACAATAACTGAATAGAGATAGAAATCATAAAACTTTACAATGAAACTTCACTGATTGCACTAGTGGTCGACCAATATATCAACAAGGCCAATATTTGGTATTTTTAAATGATCAGTATTGTTGACTTTAGCTGCTTGGTGAGATTTGCACAATAGATTTTCGGCATAAAATCTAATGATGCAAATTATTCCTTTTTTTTTGGTGGGCAGCAATTGTGTGTATGTGTAAATTACTATTAACAAATGATGTGAAACTAAATCAGCCTTTAGCCATCTTGCTCTTTAGACACCAACATCGGATGGCAAAAAACACTAATTAGCGCTTTAGTAATATGTGAGCTTACACATACATTTATTTTACATGTCAGACTTCCATATTAAAGGAATAGTTCACCCAAAAATGAACATTTGCTGAAAATGGATTCACCCTCAGGCCATCAAAGATATAGATGAGTTTGTTTCTTCATCTGACCACATTTGGAGAAATTTAGCATTACATCACTTGCTCACCAATGGATCAACTGCAGTCACTTCTGGCCAAAATACGAGCATAATTCACAAAAACACTTCCTCCAATGAAAAAGTCCATCCCTGCTGTCCTCTCACATTAAAATCCATTTGTTTACAACTGTTTTTGCTTGTAAATGGTGCTTAACCTGTGCATATTTCTCTCCTGATTCAGACGAGATTACTTTTTCACTGAAAAAGCAATTTTATGGATAGAGGACTCGTATTTTAGCCATAAGCAACATTTTTAAAGTTAAAAACGTGGATGGATTTGCTTCACAGCTTTTTGCTTCACAAAATGGTAACTGGTGGTGTGGATTACTTATGGATTATTGTGGTTTTTATCAGCTGTTTGGACTCTCATTCTGACGGCACCCATTCACTGCTGAGCAAGTGATTTAATGTTTCATTTCTCTATATCTGTTCCCATCAAGAAACAAACTCATCTACATCTTGGATGGCCTGAGGGTGAGTACATTTTCAGTTTTGGGTAATTTATTCCTTTTTATTTTAAAAATAATGCAACATATGTCTTCTTTATCTGTTTAACATTACACTGCATTTAGGAATTTGCAAATGCATTTATCTAAACGTATAACATTTGATCAGTAAAACATCCAATCAGAAGACACATGGGCTGCTCTCCTGCACTGACCGCAGAGCTTCCTTGCCATCCTCTTGCTGGCAGGATATACAGACCTCTTCTTGAGAAAGCGGCACTGGAGCTTCAACATGGGGTGTCCGTGCAGATGTGTTGAGAGGGATGGAGCAGGACGCTGTGGACGGGTTCAGCTGGCAGTTGAAGGTGGCCGTGATGCTGAGATTGACCATTGGGCTGGAAACAGACGGCGGCTCCGGTATGGACTCCTGACTCGTGCGCTCCAGCCAGTCAGCGCTGCTGTGACTTGAGTCTGGCTGACTCTGGCTGTCCGATGAAGTCATGGACGGCTCCTTCTGGCACCTGTCGACGGGTAACAGACGCTGATAATCAGGTGTGCTGCTCGCCGAGGCATCCTTTTCTAGCTGAAGAGAACAAGAGACGGGAAAGCGATGAAATGAGTATCCCAAAATGAAATGTATGAATGAAATGCATTTAATAATTTGTGACTTTTCAGTGTGTTAAATCTCTTTTTTTGGCAACCTGCTTAAAGGGATAGTTCACCCAAAAATGAAAATTTGATGTTTATCTGCTTACCCCCAGGGCATCCAAGATGTACGTGACTTTGTTTCTTCAGTAGAACACAAACGAAGATTTTTAACTAAAACTGTTGCCATCTGTCAGTCATATAATGGCAGTCAATAGGTCCCAGAGCTTTGAGAGTTAAAAAAACATACACAGACAAAACCAAATTAAACCATGCGGCTCGTGACGATACATTGAGGTCTTAAGACACGAAATGATCGTTCTGTGCCACAAATTGAACAGTATTTATATCATTTTTTACCTCTGATACACCGCAATGTCCAACTGTCCTGAGCGCATTCACAATCTCTGGCACATAGATATATATACGTAGATGCCTCATTAGCGACTGTTTCTATGGGCCACAATACGCAAGGATCTACGTATATATATCTATGTGCCAGAGCACGTTGACGCGTCACGCGCCGGATGTTGTGAATGCACTCAGGACAGTTGGACATTGTGGTGTATCAGAGGTAAAAAAAAAAAGATATAAATACTGTTCAGTTTCTTGCACAGACCGATCGTTTCATGTCTTAAGACCTCAATGTTTCGTCACGAGCCGCAGGGTTTAATTTGGTTTTGTCTGTGTATGTTTTTTTTAACTCTCAAAGCTCTGGGACCCATTGACTGACATTATATGACTGAAAGACTGCAACGGTTTTAGTTAAAAATCTTTGTTTGTGTTCTACTGAAGACTCGGTTTCTGATCTTCGCCTGTTTTCCTGGATTTTTCCCTCTTGTCTCGCCCCTGTGATTCTGTCTGCCGATCGTTGACCTACGCTAGCCCTAGGACTATTCTTGTGTTTTGCCCGCCATATACCTGTTTGCCATTGATCGACCCTGCCTGTGTTTGACCACTTCTCTTGTTAAATAAAGCTTGCACATGGATCCGCACGCCTCTCGTCTCGTCAGCCCCGTGACAGAACTATCCCTTTAATAATGATGCATATATGAATATAAGGCGTCTTTCACTTCCAGTCATCACTATACTGTATATTACTTATAAACAATTATATACAAAATTAATAGTAGTTATTAAGACTGACGTGGTTTGAAATGAGTAAAATGTAATAGTAATACATTGCCTAATAATTATGCATGCACTGTATATTTTTGTATGGCAGAAATAAAAAAAAAAAAAGAGTTATACCTTTATATGGAAGAAAATGAGACATGTTCACTTACTGTATACTACATATATATATGCAGTACATAGTATATACTCTGCAATATGAACTTGAAAATGTACCTTGTTGCCATCTGTGATTGGAACTTTTTGTAAACCTGCTGTAAACAAAGTAAAAGACGTCACCAACATCATCTAAGGTGCTCATTTCACATAATTGATGATGCTGATTCAGAAAGAAACTAATCTGAATCTAAAGAGATGATAACTTTTAACTCAGAAACCAAAATCACTTTTCTGATCTCAGTCTGTTGTAACTGAAATTAAAATGCCCACAATACCTTTCCTCTTTCGTAACTTGCATGTAATCACCATCACTGCCAATATCAGCAAAACCAGAACAATACCAACGACTGGGGAGTGCAGAGAAAAATACATAGATTAGAGAAGAAACGCAGCTGAAGTACAATGAAAGGTCATAGGTGACAGAAAGGAAGGAAGGAAATATGAAAGAATTCAAACAACGAACAAGCAAAGCATCAAAAAGTCACTCACTGATGGATATATGAATAACAAACTCAATGTTGTTTAATAGTTCACTTACAAAAGTACCATGTTTTATGAATATGATAATATTATACTATTCTTTAAAGTACCTCCATGAAGTACCATTTAAATACTATCAATTATAGAGTGCAATAGTTGGGTTCTGGAAGTAAAAGTCCCATTCATTTTGTCCAAGGGGGAACTGTTTTTTATTAAAGGGGTCATATGATGCGATTTCAATTTTTCCTTTCTCTTTGGAGTGTTACAAGCTCTTGGTGCATAAAGAAGATCTGTAAAGTTGCAAAGACTAAAGTCTGTGGACGAAGCGGAGTCCAGCCCGGGGTCGTCACATGTGGTTGCCGCAAGCCCACCCGCCGCCGCTCACTTAAGCCGGCCTCCGCTCAATCTAGCCGCCGGCCGTCGCTCACTCTAGCCATGTGTGACGCTGTGTTTCGTTGTGAAAGCGAAACTACTTTGTTTGACCTTCCAAAAGAGGACACAACTAG